AGGGACAGCCCTCACACACAGCACACAAAGGCTCTCGTTGCGTTTCGGCAAGAAATAAGCAAGGACTGTTAAGGATAATAAACAGAAAAATGCATCTTGTTTCAGCATAAATGTTACAAACTTCTAAGGCATGAAGGAACGGTCAAGATGATAAATAAATAAAAGAAATATCTTTATTGATGGCGAGGCTCAGACCATTTAGCCTACTTTTCCGCCTGACAATCAAAAATATGATCACTTTTTGTTAATAAAGGTGTATTGAGAAATTTCATATGCCGACGTTATACTCGTGACATTTGCCCCATTGCTAGGAAACTCGTCTTATTTGTGATGGTAGGCAAATGCTATAAGAAATCTATTTGGCGGATTAGTCAAAGAGGGGCAAATGTCATGTGTAGATGTGTTATATGACATTTTCCATCATATGTGTATTACCACAAGATAACATCGTAGATCCCGTATATGCTCTAGAAGTTGGTAACATTTATGCCGAGTCACCCGTGTATAAATTGTATTCTGTCCGCATTTCCATAATCCTTTTAAAGGCGTCTGAGAACTCACTTTTATTTTCATTACCAGAAATTCTTAAATGTCCTTTACGTACATAATGAAGTATACTACAAAATATTAAGTAGTTTGCAGAGTACCTTTTATTAATTTCATGACTAAATGAGATGACTTTTACGTAATCATTTAACGAACATCAAACAATCAACATTTATTACTAATATGAACAGTTCCAGAACATAAAGCATTCATAATTCAATTATTTACCTTATGAATACTTATTTGGGAGATTTTTTCATTCAACACAGACAATTGCAGAACTATAAAATAATACTTAGTTTCGTTTCTATATTCGCCCAAATTGTTGGCGCATTGCGACCCAGTGTATTTGGGAGATTTTTTCATTCAACACAACAATTCAGATATAAAATATACTTAGTTCTGTTTTATTGCCTGTGTAAGCGCATTGCGACCCAGTGTGGCCTTCGCGTGCTTTCATCCTCTGACAAGCGAGGCGCTGTCTTAAGCAATAAAAACACGCCTGCTGTGCCGCGCACACAAAACAGCTTTTACTACGGCTCCATGAGCTCTGAAAGCAAGAAGCAGTTTTGATTTGTCCATTTCAAGCTCATTATCTCCGACTGTCTTGCGAAAGAGCCCCGTCAAAGGAAACGGCTTGAAAGCGTAAAATTACATATTCATTTAGTCTCTTGTCCGCCAGTATAGATGGAAAGTCTGTTACGGTAAATCTTAAGCTCCTAAGCAGCAGACACAAAGAACTAGATCTACGAATCGATACTGTAGGGTAATGCCAACACACCATACTGCAAGGAGTGCATCGATCGCGAGTTGTATATCCGGGTAGGGCGTGTCGGCGAGCCATAATTAAACAAAAATCGGTACTATTCGATACAAAACAAATCAATAACCCAAACATTCCTCACGGGGCTGTCTCAGAGAAGTGTTGGCAGAGTGTTTTATTTATTTATTTACACACCGGGGATGAGTCACGCCTCGCAGCGTTATCGGCTTTCGTAAGGAGCTCAGAGACATCTCGTAGCGATCATCGTAGAGGGCTCCTGAGCGCTCCTCCGGATTCTCCGGGTGCGAGCGCCCTCTTCCGCGAGGAGGCCGAAGGAGGGGAGGGCGGGGGGGCGGGCGGGGCGGGGTCGTTGGCAGCCGCCGCCGCCGCTCGGCGCATCCTGTCGACGGGGCGGGGCGCCGCGCGCACTCGAGCGCTCCCGCCCTCCCCGGCCCAGAACCAGGACGCTTGCGGCAACGAAGATCTGCTTATGGCGGCGGCACGCACTCTACCTGCTCTCGGTGGGTGGTGATGCAAACGCGTTCCGTTGGGAGCGGAGGCCTTTGTTTTATTCGTTCTGCGGTTACTCACAACCTCATGGAGAGAACACATCGGAGTTGTATATCCGGCAAGTTCAGTACTTCAAAGTGCGGTAATGAAGTTGAGAATTTAAGTCCACACTTTTTACATGTTGACTGTTTGTTGGCATGCAGATGTTTGCGCCACTCAAGTACGGAATGTTTAAATTCTTTCAAGGCTTAACAGGCACTGCATCGTATTTGAGATGGGTGATTGTAAGCTTTTAATCGGAAGAAGAGTGCCAGCGCGAAATATGTAAAGAACGAAATAAGCTACGAAAGCAACAATGAAAATATTTGGACAAACTTTCCCGGTGCTGCTATTTCACTTAAAAACTACTATTTCGTCTTTATCGGAATTTTGTAGCAAATGGGAGTGTCAAAGCTAGAACTATATGTTCCAATAAAAGAGAGAATGTATTGTGCGATAATATAGTTCATTATCTTTGAGGTGAGATTAGTAGGAACAACGCCACAACTGCTGCGCGACTAAATGAAGGCGTGATAATACCCGAGGGAATGTTCATGGAGCGCGGGCCTTTACATGCGGGGCGCTCTGCGCCCGACGCTGGCTGCGGGGGGCGTGGCGGGCGCGGCAGTATGGGTTCTGCAGTGGAGCGGCGGCGGGCGCCGGCTGCGCAGTGAGCGTGAGGGGGAGAGGGGAGGGGAGGGGAGGCGGCTGCACGCGAAGCGACTCCGACTATCACGCGTCTCACGGCCAGGAGCGAGCGCGGGCAGCCGCTTCAACCCGCTTCCCGCGACATCCTGCAGCGCTTGCCCTCGCTTGTTTTTAGCTCGTTCGCTTGTTTTTAGCTTTCGTTCGCTTGTTTTTTGCTCGTTCGTTTGTTTTTGCCGATCGCGGACGAGAAGAGCAGGCGCTATTTGAGCGCGACTCGCGGATAGAGTAACAGCTTTCTTATCCGAATAGTATTATCATGGAACTCTAAGGCTGGACGTACTAGCTGTCATTGATCAATAGCTACCACTTGCGTAGGCAGATGTTTCTGACTCCTTTCTGACTTCTTGCAACAGATTTTTACTGAGTGTTTTCTGCGCTGTAACATATGTGTTATTGTGAGATGTCTTCTTCGATGATACAATTCGACATTGGGTGACGATGTTTGTTTTTTAAAACATCTTCAATTAGTATTTCTTCAGTTTTTTTCCTTTGGCGTGATTATTTGTGCGTCTTTAGGTTTTACGGATGGTGACTTCTTTCTACCAGTCAAGGGGTGTTGTGGCGTGAGTTGTCCAGCAGCTTTCCTCTCCGACCTACTCTCGTTCGTGATCAGCCTCACGGTGAAAGCGATACGAAGAATCCCCTCCGACACTTCGAGAATGCGGCATCGAAAACGCATGCAACCGGGGCTTCGTCATGACTCAAGTTCACCGGGGACGTTCTTTTACCAGAATTCCAAGCGAGATCGATGTCCTTGGCTGGCGGGGGAAGCTTATTCTTCCTCGTTCCTCGTGACCTAGAAACAGCGTCCGCGCCGGCGTGGCGGGCCCGAGGCAAGGGCCGTGCGAGGAGAAGGGGCGGGGCGGGGGGGGGTGGGAGGGGGGAGTTCGTCTGAGTCACCGCGTTGAGTCAATCGCCTGACGCACGCGCACCGCCTCTGATTCAGGCGAGCCTGCGGCGCGGCGCTGCGCGGCGGTCACCGTTGTCGGGCGCCGTCTCCTATGGTCTCCTTCGTCGCGAACCACGTCCCGCCGCCCCCCACGGCCGCCCGCCGCCCTGTCTCTGCGCCCCGCGCCGCGTCGGGACACCGGCCGGCTGAAGGAATTCCGAATGCCTCATCCCAGGCTGGCCAGACGTGACTCACGCGCGGGCCTACACAAGAAAACTCGACGAAATTCGCGGAGGCGGTGGGAGTTGCGGTTGACCGCAAAACAAACGCCTCACAGAAAATCCTCGCTATCACATAGAGAGGGATTTGAAAAGACTTCCGCGATTAGTGATTCCCGAAACACTACAACACTAATAGTATACGTCCTTTCTGCGGTTGAATAATGCATTTAAGAAGCAGTTATTGTGAGATATACAATGCAAAACAGGGTCCTCATTTAGACCATTGTCTTCTATCGAGAACCATTAAATGAGTGTCAAGAAATTAGATTTACTCTCAATGGGTTAACGTTTAGTAGCCTTCTCTTTAGAAGGAACTCCATGACTATACCACTAGGAACATAAAACACCTTTGAGGTACAAAATATGATATTAAACTGATTGTGAGGGAGATCAATTCCATCTATTACATTCTCCAACATGAAATGCTTGGAGTGATCTCCTAGAAATGGCATTTGACACTTTTGTTTTTCAGCTTTCGTCGTTTCCTCCCCAACAAGGGATTTCGAGGAGTGAGTGCGCTGACCGCATGTGTCTCGTGTTCGCAGATGTACCTGCAGAAGTACGGCTACGTGCCGCCTGGCAGGAGCGGCAGCGCGGGCGCCATCTACTCGGAGGACAACCTGCGCTCCGCCGTGCGGGAGTTCCAGGCCTTCGCGGGCCTCAACCTCACCGGTGAGTGCCGCCGCCCCACACGCCCCACACACCCCACACGCCCCTCACACCCCACACGCCCCACAATCCCCCACACACGCGTTATGCAAAGAACAAGGCATACAGTGCGATTCCGCCTGCCCACATAGAGAACACGCATGCTTAAAATTATAAATGTTCAGATATGGGAATATAAAAAAATGAAGGCGAATAAATGTCCCTTTATATGCCCTGAACAACCTTAACAAACGCAGGTGAATGGATAAATTTATTATTTAAGGTTATAAAACCTCATAACATTACATTTTTCCTTGACTCAAACATCAGAGTTAGAATGAAACATCATGAGTTAGAAACTAATGAATTAATGAGTTAGAAACTAACTCATGACTTTCAAACATCATGAGTTAGAAGTTAATGCAATTTCCGCTAAAATGTGTGTATTTTTTGGATTTGTAAATCAGTAAGAAAGGAAATATGCGGAAGAAATTTGCGAAGAAGAAACTTGACGGAGATAAAAGATTAATTGTTCAAATAATAATATTTTAATGACTCAGAGAATAAGTTTTCGCCGTCTGTTCTCACAGTTAATTTCCATGGGATTCTTCCATATTTACAAATAATTCATAAAGAAAAAAGTAACAAAACATCTTTTACCCATTAATGCAAAGTCGATAAGTGCATTTTTCGGTGTGTGGGTATCTGTTTTTGCAACATCTTAAGAAGTTCTGATCAAATGCAACTGCACATATGAGCAACTTTGCGTGTGAAGCTGTAGGGCGATTCGGTGGGTGAGGATGGGGTGCTCTGGCTCTTGAAGTAGCGTTGCAGTAGTCAGATGCCCGCCTATTCCTTCAAAGGGATTTGGCAGCTAGGCTCGCCTCGTTGATCGAGCGATTTTTCATCGCAGCCTATTTCGCAATATCTCAACTTTTATCTCCTTATCGATTGCTCTTATCAGACACCCATTGGTCGTCACCCCGTTTCTTACAGGAATTCCACTCATGTTGGCATACTTTCTAGGTCATGCTTGTATACACAAAAGCAAATATTAATGATCCACAATTGACGTACTACTCCACAATGGAGCAAATTGTATACATTACGATAAAGCAAACAAATATATGGATATGATATTACTTGATATTCATAAATAAATTTCAACCCGTTGCAACGCCTTCATATGTACGATAATTCAGATAGCAAGTCATTCCTTTGCTTAACTTCAAAACTCTTAGGTTGATGTGCCTTTCATAGCTAAGAAGTTACAATTATTGTGATGGAGAAACTATCATTTTACCTCTATAAATATAAATACAAGCAGAATAATATATAGAAATAAAAGAACTATAGATTCTGGAAATCTATGTATTTGAAAAACGGACTACGTGAAATATCGATGAAGGTACTCGTCTTTGAGCATGAGGGTCATTATCCATCTTCATTGTTTCATATTCAGATATTATAGTACTACTACAATAACCTCAATATACAATTGAGTCAAGAATAGAAGTAGTCAGGTGACAATCCAAACGAAGTGTGGTCTTATCAATCACTGACATAAGCTCTTGAAATCAGTCAAAGAATCTTTCAGATAAGGTCCAACTTCGGGGCGTATTTGAACAGAAAAAGACCTCCAAAAATGCCAGTGAGAGCAAACACAACTTTAGATAAACAATGAGTTAGTGGAATGGCATTTAATTAGAACTGAAAATAAATGAAAATTCTTTATTTTAATTGGCAATGTTCTAGTGGCTATTCATAACAGAAGTAAAAAAACATCGGCGATATATTTTGAAAGTCTTTTATTGACTCCGTAAACTAGACGAAAGTAATTCATTTATCCTTCACAGAAATGTAACATAATATTAAGATAAATTTAAACATATCAGAAAATAAATATTGAATTTGAGCAGTAGCATCGTATATCTTATTGAATTTCCAAAAACAACAACATGCGTCCAAAACTGCGCGAAGTAAGTACAGTAAATATTGATGACAACTTCAAACGAATGTTAGCTCAACATGCGATATTCAAGAACGGAAAGCTGATAATATGATTGGCGATCATATTCATATGTGTTATGATGAATGCACGCCTAATATACTGGTGCTAAATATTGCAACGCCAAAACTATATGAAAAAATTGTATAAAATTCTGTTCAATGAATTTTATGCAAATTGTCTCCTTGATGAAAAAATGTACTCCTACATAATTCAACAAGTTCTCATTATTTTGAATTGTCCTTGTGAAATCTGATGTTAATGGCGGGAACTCGGTTTTCACATATTCACTTTTATGTAACTACTTCATATTATTTTAATACACAGGAAACTTAGACACGTATTCATCAGGTCATTTTCGTTTAGGAGAACTTTTCATTTCTAGTAAATAGGTAGAATTGCAGGGACTGATTTGCTCTCTTGCAGAAACATTCGCTCTCTGAACCTTTGGGAAGTCGCCTCTTTCTGGAGGTTGGGGGTACTATTAAAAAGATTCAGGGCGTGAAGGGGATGGTGGACACGTGTGCGAAGACGCCTGGAATTCGCACTGGCCGGCGCCGGTGTGGGCAGGGGCCAGTTTTGGGCACGCGATCCGTGCCGGGCGGGGCGGCACTCTGCAAACGCGCTCTCAAAATATACGCCCTGCACTTGGGCGGGTGATGGTGGAAGTTCCGGGAGGGCCGGAGAAGTAAAGCGGCCGTTTGTTACCGAGATGCCCCGTTGCTTCCCACGCGGGCGCCGGGCGGGTGGACGGGCGGGCGGCGCGGGGCGGCGCGCGGCCGTGGCGATGGCCGCTGGGCGCGGCGGGCCGCTTCCGCTGTCGGAGCCAGAGGAAAAAAAGACGGGCGACACGCCGGCGGGGCGCCTGTTGCTGGGCGCCGCGCTCGTCTTCTGTCCTCGGGCGCGCTGCCACCGGCCGCCGGCTGCTCCGGCCCGAGGCCGCCCCGCCCCGCCCCGCCCCGCCCTTCTCCCAGCGCGGGATTAATATCCGAAGGGGAACTGAGCACGACCACACTGTGTGCCGGCTGGTCTTATTAAAGCATGGAACATGCTCCATAAAAATATTATGCAAATAAAAGTGTAATATTTGCAATTCATAATAAAATAAAATAAAATAAAATAATAAATACAATGCGTACATACAGTCACTTAGAGTGACTTTAGACGGTGGAGGGTGGCGTGGCACCATGCACTACTTTAATACATGTTTGTTAAATTAAATGTTGGCGTTTGTATTTGCAGTTTCTTTAACCATTAGTTGATTCTGTCGATTAGTCACAATTTGTCGTTTAATCAAAATTTGTCGATTAGTCAGAATTGACTAAAGGTTAAAGCAATTGAAAATACAAACGCTTACATTTAATTTAACAAACATTTAATAAAGTAGTGCATGGTGCAAAGCCGCCCTCCATGATCTAAAGACACCCCAAGTGACTGTTGTAGTTTAATGTCCCTATCATCTACATCTTTGTTCGTTAATGTTTTAAAAATGCCTTAATCCACTTAATACTTTAAAATCTAAATTTAATTAATTAAATGTTAGTATCGTGAATTTAAGACAGCGGACATTATTTTTACATGTTCATTTTACTAATATAAAATTTTATTTAAACAAATATCAAGAGTCCTTGGCACGTACTTAATCTGTGCTTGTTTATATTTCTACCCCTGGCGAACCCGATCCTTGTCCGCTCTCCGTCTGTCGGATTCTCTGACACCAGTTTCCCTCCCACTTCCGGCTCCACATTCGCCCCACTGTCCACACACGTCCTCGTCTGAACCCCCCCCCCCCGCCTCGCACCACGTCACCCGGCATGCGTTTCCGACCGCACGGATTTTAATATGTACGCATTAAAAAGCGCAAAAAAGAGAGAGTTTTTGACAAACATAACATGAAAATGGTAGAAAATGGGATGTGTGTAATAATTTACTTTGCTTTGAGGGAGAAACATAGTGTTTGCTCATTTTGAACATTTTAGAATTAATTTTTCTTTGGTCGCATTGAAACTCAAAAGTATGCGCCTCGCATTGTTTAATATCTAAACAGTTCTTTAGGAAGCTCAAAAAGCTCTTTTTATCTTTTCACAATCGTTTAATGAGTGTACCTTTGTCTGAAGTTGCATTTTATCTAGTTAATAATAAAATGCAATAAAACTCGTATTTTTTTCACAAAATTCTGTCATTGTTTAAATTTTTAGGTTGTCCACAAGAGATCAAAGATCAAAGAGTGCTTGAAGGGGAGAGTTGTTTAATAGGATAGGATAAAGAGAATTTAAATCATGCAAATGCATTTTTAGAAGAGAGTGTCAAAAATAATATTAATAATTATTACGAGTTGTTAGTTAAATTGTAAAATATGCTTTTTTTTAAGATCCAGTCTCTGCTTGTAACTGTGATTCGAATAAAATAAATCATCACTCTTCAATGGGAACTCTGTAGAAAAGTGTATCTCAATAAACGTAATTTCGTTTACTCAAATACTGTAATAATATGTCACAGCCCTCTCCGAATCTACAAATGTCAATGTTCCTTAAATTAATTGTTTTGTTAATGGTGAAAACCAAAACAACATTTCATTTTAGTCAGAAACGAGATATATTTATTCGAATAAGTTCTTTACGAATTTCTCGGTTGTAATCCTCGGATGTTTTCGCCACGACACTTCCACGGTAGCCTGGGCGGGCGACTCGGTAGCCCTATTACAAAGCATTTTATCGCAGCGTATCTCACACAAAACAAATCAAAATCCGCCTCTCTGGCCGGCCTTTGTGCGCGCCTGTGATAAGCGGGCGATTCGCGGAATCGCAGGAGCGCGCACGTCGACAGAGCGGTGGGCGGCGGTGGGCGGCAACGCGCTATCGCCCGGCGGCCGCGCCCCCTCGCAAGCGCCCCACATCCTCTCCTCCCACGCCCCCAATGGGCATTCCCTTTCTTTCAAGCCCTGCTCCACCATTGTCGCTACTCAAACGCCGCGCTTGCGTAAGAGGCGGACGATGCCACAGCGCACAGATCACAGGGCAATTGCGGTCGGCATCGATGTGGTTGTTTCGAAGTGGTCCAGGTGCATTGTCGTTCAAAATGACTGGGACGATCGTCTGCGATGTCCAGTGCACTCGATGTTGCTGTTTCTGATAATTTTCAGAACCACAATGAGCCGTAACCTAAGCCAAGCACGAAGACAAATCGCTCGTCACATGTGATGTGATGTCATGAAACGCAGCCAAACCAGTTTCATTTAATACATGTATGATGCATATACCATGAAATACTACCTTGAAATGAAATGTGACAACTAAATAATGAAAAGGAAAAGTATTATTTAAACAGACGTTGTACAACTTAAATTTTCCTGGCGCACTTTTGACGAAGTATCTCTCTTTCCCCATACCCTACGCCGTCCCGGAGCACAAGTGGGCGCTCTAAACTGCGGGAGATTGAATTTTGGGATAGAAACGTTGGGCGGTGTCTCTGTGATTCTATGGCGACGGCAGGCGCTGGTCCAATTAGTATGAGTTATCAATCACAGCCCCTGCCAACGCGCATTGCCGATGTAGACATCACTGTACGTGAATCGCCGTCCTCAGTGTCTTGGATTCGAACGAATACAAGTGCGTGAGGCACCATAAATGATTAATAAGATATCCGATAAAGAAATGTTATTGAACAGAAACTTGCAGATTTGCGAAGGCTTGTGCGTTTAGCAACACTGTTTCATGTGTTCACTAGCTGTCAGAACCAAAGGAAGATCTCCCGAAGAAAAGCGTAGGCCCTATGGAGTCCAGAGCGGTGGGTACTGTAGCCCTGCACCAAATATTTTTTCCGAACGTTGGGATATTCTGTTTTAGATGACACATGCTTTTAAAAGTACGGGATAATAATTATATTTGATAATGCTGTAGTAAGGCTGTCTTAGTCAAACAGAAACAATTTAGAATACACCTTTCAGAAACAACAAATATCGAGTAAAACAAAATTGCATCACAGTAAGTTGAAATTAAAAGAAGATAGAAACATCTTTCAACGACGGCCAGTAACAAAGGCCAAACAGCAAAAAAAAAAAAAAAACTACAGAAATAATAAATCGTCATGTCCTTTTATTGTATTGACAAAAACACTCGTAACATTCTGTCCCAATCTGAGGCAATCTTAATTCTTGCCAACAAACACTTATCTTCGTCTTGTTGGGAATTGTTTGCTGTCTCGCCTTCCGAATGGACTCACGTGTCCCGTGCGCGGCGCAACGCAGCCGCAGTCTTTGTGTTGCCGAGAAGCAACGGTCGGCCGCAGGGACGATAAGCCTTCTCGCGCGTCACATAGCCCGCAGTCCGCACCGGCCCGAGAGGGATTATTCGGGTTCGAACTGGAAAGGGCGATTCAACGGCCACCGACTGCAGAGCAATTGACACTCCAGTCCGTTTAAAGGGCCGCAGGAGAGTTATCTTTAAAAACATAGGCATACCTTCTTGGCAGTGCTCACGATGGTGGAAATTTATTTAAGAATTTTTTATCGATATTGCTGATAAAAACTGAAAGTACGGAGAAAAGAGATGCCTATGATCCCTCACCTTATCTACAAACTCTGACTTTGAAGCGATCACCTGCAATTCCTATCACACTTATTTGGCGTGCTTTATTGGCCCAAATTGATAACAACGACCGCTACATAAAAACACGTTTACATTTTCTGGTCTACTTTGATATTTCTGTTGTGGTTTACATCTTTCTGCTCTGGTCACTGACTGCATGCATTTAAAATCCCCCAGAAAAAAATCAAAGCTTATTTTCATTGCTTAGATTTTGTTTATAATTTCTCATTTTCGCTGTCACAATTCATTTGATTAATAACACTCTTTCCTACCTGCTCGCTAATTTATAAGTATTTATCAACTGTCAGCGCTTTCTCCTCTGCGCTCGTGTCTTTCAACTTTGAATCGTTCATCATTTGTTATGTCGTTTCGTGAATGATTGCCGTTCTCTTATTTCTGATGATTTATATCGCAAACGTTTACTTTACTGTTTGTTTGCGAAGAGTTTGAATTCCATCTTATTAACCACTGAGAAGCAAATGTTGCCTCGACAAAAGCAAAAGTTACAAATTTTGATATTTAGTGAATATTGGATTTGGTAATTTTGAAAGGTATTAACGTTTTTGTCAATTAATTGCTTTTAAATTTGTTCAAGTTTGATGGCTTTTATAAATGCAAGTATCGTATTAATTTCATTCAGTTTTAATCATAAATTCTTTGCACCTAGCACAAGTTGATAAGGGTACCGAACGTAGATATTTTCATTATGACTGCAAAAACGAGATTTGTATTTTGTATTTTCGAGGAAAGTTACATTTTGCTTTAGATCTAAGAATATTAACATTAAGAATTGAAATCTAAAACTAAAGTCTAGAAGAATAGAGTGGAAAGTGGATATACTATGAAACTGCGTAAATCATTTCCTACTTTTTATCCTCTGCCTTTCAAGTTAATCTCAACAACTACTAAAGCTTCTTTTCAATTGCACGAAGGAATCCTGTCGTGTCTGCGAGAAAAGCTCTTCCTCATGCGCTTGTGGCTGTGTTGCAGGCGAGCTGGACAACGAGACCGTGTCGCTGATGCAGACGCCCCGGTGCGGAGTCAAGGACGTAGTGGGCCAGGGAGGCGGCCGAAGCAAGCGCTACGCTCTGCAGGGTAAGCTACCAACGCACCTCACTTCAACTATTTTGCGTACATGTGTTTTCACACGTGTTGATACACCTCCTTTAATTTACAACATTGTTTATATCAAATGTGGTAAATGATTTTATTAACTTGATAATAAAAATATAATACCTAACATTTTTTTAAAATATTTAGGCGGGGAAAATATCTAGTATAATTGTAAAAATAATCTGTTGATATTAAAAAATACAACTGATGAAGTCAAGAGAAAATTAATTTGTACGTACTCTACCCTGATATGAATTCTAGCGATGGATTCAGCAGCAGGACCATCAGTTGTGAGCTATTCCTTGGCCTTCCTAACATAAAGTTGCAACGCCGATTCCTAAATCGCAAGAAAACCTTTAGAACGTCTTCCTCCGGAAGTGACAGGGAGTCATTGCTGTTCTGTAGATTCACGGTTTGATAGGAGGCCTGATGAATGACTCCTGTTGTCGGCAACATTCCAAGCGACCTTCTGCATCGGCCGCGAGTTTCAAATTAAGTAGTTAGGCGGAAGAGCAGCAGCCCACGGTTAGAACGAGGGTTTTGCAGTCACCGCCTGCGAGGGACTCGGTGGCAGGGGTTCGTTTGTTTTTCCGCGCGGCGCGGCGCGGCGCCCGGGGCCTTGAACCAGCAGCTTCGCGGCGCCGTGCCCGCGGCGGGCTGGGCGCGTGACCTTTAGCTGGCCTCTGGCAGGGGATCTACCGCGCGGTCGCGTGCAGGGACGGCGGTTCGGGGGCGGGCCGGGGCCAAAGGGGGCGGTGGGCGGAAGGGCGGTAGGGCGAGGCGAGGAGGGGTGGAGTGGGGCGGGGCGTAGGCGGGGCACCGGAAGCGGCGCGCGACGCTGCGCCAGGGCTTCCGCCCACTGACCCTCGTGGTCCCGCCACGTTCCCCACCCAAACGCTGATGCGCGGCTTCTGTTTGATTTTTTATTTTTTTTTTCGTGCGGCATGAATTGCGGGGAGACGACTAGGCTCGTGGTCGGATTGCTAGATCATCTCATCGCGGTTGACATCGGATCTCGTCGGCCGGCATTTGTGGTGAGATGATGATGATGATGCTTTAATGAGAGGTAATGTGATGTGTAATGACTATGAAGAGGGTGTAGTTAGTGGAATGAACGTCAAGGGCAACTGGAGAACGCAGAGGATTCCCCTGCGAATACGCTTTGCTCATCGCAACTTCCAAGTAGAGCGGGACTGGAACTCTGATACGAAGAGATGAAAGATATCGAGCTGATCGCTAGGGTAAGGGTTGCTTAAGTTCAGGAGGCAACACATTACTTATTTTGACCTAACTCTTCGAGATTTTTGGTGGTTGCGAAATTAAGAGGGGTAAAGCGAAGGTTAGCAAGTTGGTCCTACATTTACGAGTACGTTATCCTCCTTATTGCCCATTTTATTTTTTATAATATAAAACGCAATTGACTAATATAATTTTTGCATTTAATTACCTAAATTCTGTTAAATGTCAAAATCAACCACTGCCTGCATTTTTTAGGCGAATACAGATTCACTATCGGTTAGTAGAATCATAACCGTCGAATATGAAAGTCCTTGACAAACAAATATGATCCTTTTTTTTCATAAGTTCAGAAAAAACATTGAGCCTCAAAATTGTACGAAGACCCAAGGTTAATTCATGAATGGAGTCTTTGTGGGAAAATGAATGCCAATGTCACATATTTGACATTTCTGGGTACTTTACCAACTTACCTAATATGCCGAATAATACGGAAATAGGAATCGAATACACACCATATGAAAGTGACAGATCAAAACAAAAGATAACGCGGTATAATCAATTAACACTCTGTTATTCGGCGTATCTTTGTTTTAAAATAAATTAATAATTCGCTTGAAACTAAATTGCAATGAACTGTGTAATTGGTACATTTCGATGTGGTGCTCCACAAATCACAACATAGTGACCAATATTCTTCAAAACACTTTTTTAAACGCATTTGCACCCATATGCTTCCCGCGGCATTTCCTGTGCTCATTCGGTTTGCGACGCCCAACAGTAGTTGATGTCGAGCGTCATTGCACGGCCGCGGAGCACCTACGTCATGAGCGCTGCCGAATTGGGTGCGTGCCTGTCGGCGAGGGATCACACCCATCCGGTGGATTCGGCAGCCGCGAGCGCTCAACTACTCGAGGTGCCAAGGCACTCGCGGAACCCAGGGAAAAGGATGGCTTCTGAAAATGAATACCTTTGCAAAGGTTTCTGAATACCTAGTCCGAGCCGAGAAATGATGAATAATGAATTAAACCAACACATTTTCTTATGAAAATGAATTCTGAAATTTCAAAATTGTTGTTTCCCAATAAAAATGTTTTAATGAACACTTTAATTTAGGAGTCTCAGAAACATGGTTGTTTACAGAATCATATTCTTCGACATTTTATTATGAATATGACATATTGTAGAGCAGGGCACACTGAGCGGAAAAATGGTAAAGTATTTTCAAAGACGTACCACAATTACAATGATCGTCGAAGGGAGTAGTAATCATCATGGATCATTAGATAATAAAACAATAAGTCGAATGATTTCTGCCATCTGTACTGGGCACTTACAAGCTAAACTATGAGTAGTTTTCTCCGTTTCGTCGTTTCCTCCGGCACTCGCGACGCTCTGCAACATCGTCCCATCCCGGTAACTTCCTGTTGTGTGTGAGCCCCGACGGAAACAAATTTCATCGGTCGTAAAGAGTACAATTGGTCTTTCGCAGGGCCCAGCGTGTTGTACTCTTCTATAATGTAACCTTCCATGAACACGGTCAAAAGTATTCGCGATAATTATTTGCACGTGTTGCTACCGTGTATTTTACGAACGATGAGAGAGTTAATTAATCTTTACTGTTGATTGCTAAAATGCTGTCACGAAATTTTGTTATCTTTCGTGTAACGTATACATACCTGTTATTACATGTAATGAGTTGTTCCTAGTAAAGTAGCTATGAGCTTGTTTAATATATGGAATTTTCTTTTCAATTAATTTACTTCTTTGTATTCATATAATGTCGGTAAAATCGACCCAAAGCAAAAATCGCGCATTTCGGCATCCTCTCTCGCGCAATTTGTGCCATCCGTGCGCAGCGGGGCGTGCTTCCACCTTTCATCAGCCCCCTGCCCCATCCCCTCCCCCCCCCCCTCCCTTTTCCCTCCCCTCCCCTCCTCCCCTCCCTCCCCCTCCCCTCCCCCCTCCCGTCCCCCCCCCTTCCCCTCCACCCGCGCCCTCCCCCTCCCATCCGCAACTGCCATTTCCACGAGCAATTTAGCGGACACTCCCCGAAGTTGTAAGAAGACCCCTAACGGGAGAGAATCGGGGAAAGGTTT